CTTGCTGGCTTCTTAACAATGATGGCTTGATGCTTTTAGCCAGCTAGACACCCTGGCACATGCTGGGGGAGGCAGGTAGCCATTTGGCTTCCCAGAGCAGTCTCAGTCACATTGCACCTCTATTTCTACCTGTGCTCTTCTTCTTAGGACTGTAGCACTTCATGCTCCCATAGGATATATGTTCCTCAAGAGGGGAACCCACAGAGGATGCATGATAAAGGAAGATGATAAAGGCATTCTCAAGAGAGGATGCCCATAGAGAAAAGCATCAGCAACACTGTAGTATGTGAGCACCCTTACCCAGAGCAAGGATGGGCAGGGTCCTTGATTCAGGGGCCAGGCATGCATGTGGAAAGATTCAGGGGCCAGGCATGCGTGTGGTCCCTGTGCTCTGGGACCAGGGCAGCCTTGGTCCTTAGGAAGACAGAGGCTAGAGAAATCTCCTGTGCTTTGCTGAGTGTATTGGTTTCCAGCATCCTAATCTGATCCTGCTTTAAACACTGTTAATAAAAGAAAATGCAGGCACTCCTCAGGAAATCTAAGCAATCCTGAAAAAGACTTATGTTTTTAAAAATACAGTAAGTGCTGTCTTATCTTTGTTTGACTTTTGGCATTGGAGGAACGCGTTTTCTCTTCCTAAGACGAACTCTGAGGTGACCCCATTTTTCAGGAGCATTGGGTTTCAGCAGAGATTCTATGGATCCAGAGACATGCAGGAAGGTGAAGTTGGCAAAATGAGCAGCATAGAAGCAGCCAAACTTAATGGCCTTGCTGAACCAGACCGGCAAGAAGTGCTGCTGGCACAGAGGCTGAGCTGCAGGATACCAGAGCTGCACCACACAATGTCAAGGCACCTCTGGAGCAGACCCTTGAGCTTCTGTCCTTTGCAAATCAGCCACTCTGCAGCTGCTTTCCTGGGATATAAATAACTAAAATGTCATTAAAAAGATCATGAATCATGCTCACTCAGCAACAGAAAACACATCTGATTTGTCTTTCTTTTCTCTGTTTGAAGGTAATAAGTGACTGGTGCCTACAATTCCTTAAGAAACTGCAGTCTACAATATATCATTCCAGAGAACTGTCCTCTTACTGCTGTCCTTTCACAGGTTCCAGAAGACTGGAATAGTAAAAATGCTCTGAGAAACCCAGTTAAGATTTAGGGTGGGTTTCAGACAAAGGACTTGAACAGTAAAATGATGGCTTTTTGACAATAATTGCAGTCTTGTGAACCCTGCTTGTGGCCAGGAGGCAACACCCTTCCCAGCCATGCACTAAGCGAGGATGCCCACAAAGTTTGCAGGCCTATAACTTGCCAATGAATAAGAAAATGCTGTTAGTAGAGGAGTGTATAAAGATCAAGTATAATGAAGTGGTAACAATACATCTCGCTAATCAATAAGAACACTCTCTTTGTAAGAAAATATTCCTTATGTATAGATCAGCTTGTTCAGAAGGTGGGAGTCAACAGCTTTCAGTCTGGTTTAAGGAGAAAGACTAACTGATGATGTGAAATTACCTAGAATATATAATCACAGAGATCAAAAGTTGTGGGCTTTTTTTTTGCTGTTGTTGGGTTTCGAGTTTTTTTTTGTGTGTGTAAGTACAGCTTTAAAAATCATATTATTCCAATATAATTCCCATTGTTGCTGTCACTGTGGAGTGTCTAAGTGCTTAATGTATCTAACACAGATGTTCCAAAGGGCTACAATTAAATCAATGTGCACTCATCTTCTGGTACCAATCAGCTTTTTCTCCTCTTAATGAACAGACACATGCTGTTTTATACAGAATCTGATTGACTGGTTGATATGAAAACATAGAGTAGCAGGAGCTGGTGAAAAGTATTTGTTATTCTTTCTGTTTGGAGTTGCAGTGGAAGTGAGCAACTGTTTCTGACCGTGGCAGCCACACTCATGCTGACTGATGAGTGCTAAAGCACTGGCACAGAGGCTGTGATCAACAGGATGGCAATTCATTTGTGAGACCTTCATGGAAGTTGAAGCATCCCCAATATGTTTTATTTTAAACGATGAACATAGCATTAAAACAGTATTTGTCTACTTCCTTGTCCACAGAAGTCACCTTCACACCTTTGTCAGACTTCAAAGGATCCCTAATCTGATATTATATCTCAGGAAACTGAGCCAGAGAGAAGCAGAGCAGGTTTCTCAACACCTTTAGGTAACAGAGCCAAAATAACCCCCACACTGCAGGAGTCCCTGTCTGTCACACTTAGTACCTACTTCAAGAGACTCATATTCAAACTGAAGCCTGCTTGTTGATCTCAATGCCAGAATTAGGTTAATTTTTTTAGAGCACTGCATCAAAACTGAAGTTTGGAGATAGGACCAGACGAGGAAGGAACCTCTCATCTGATGAAAACCACTACTTCAATATCCATGTGTTCTATAGAGGTAGTAATGACCATATCCCTATACTACTTACTGGTCTACAATCTTTGTGGTCCACTGCGTCTGAGCAAGCCCATTGTGTTTCTGCATTACTCTTAAATAACACTCCACACTGGTATAAAGCTGAGTTTGCCTGAGAAAAAGGATGTCTATAGTCAGCTGAGCCCATGTTCAGCATCAAAATACCACATAGAGGGTAAATCCAGTAGGAAAACACATTAGTGTTGAAGCAAATGAAAACTGTCAATGTAGGAAGGCAATGCTTATTTTGGAGGGAAGGTTTATTAAGTTATGGTCCCCAAATGCAAAATTATATCAAAACCAAAATAATTCTTTGGAAATACTTGGAGATTTCAGTCACTTTTTAAGTTAGCATCTTTAAAAGCAGATGAAGTGAAAAATGAATGTGTTCTAGTTGGGCTGGATGTGAAAGTGGTCATTTCCTACTATAGATGGACAGAGTAACACGTACGCATGTGCCTGGGTGAGGACATTCTTGGTTGTCTGAACCATGCAAAAGGCAAAACAAAATCAACAACAAAGCAAACTACTCTTTCTCACCCTGAAAGAGCATAAGAGAAAACACTGAAACTGAATCTCAGTGTTGGCCAAAGGTGTACATTTCAGTTGCAAACATTCAACTTTCTTTTCCTTGACAATAACAATAAATTTTCCTTGAGCAAAGCACTCACAACAAATGTAGGAACCAAATTATAAACATGTGCTTTTTGTAAAAGAATTATATAGAAAAATAAACTAAATCCCATGTATAATTGTCCTTTGACAAACAGTGGTTCCCATAATGGCTGTTTTAACACTACGTTGTAATTGCAAAATTACATTAAATACCTCAGTAGATAATCATAGTTTTAAATGAGTTACAAACATTGCTGTGCTCTTTGGAGGGTTTTGCAAGTTTAACTGCAATTTTCCTGTGTTGGTTTTTTCTTTAATCTATTTTTGTTTGTTGGTGGGGACTGCCAAAGTTTGTGTAGATATTTAAGCCCAAGACAGCATCTTAGCTTAGCCATCTGTGAAAACAAGAACCGAGTAAAAATATAGCTTTGAATAAATGAAGCACTCAGGGAATTTCATACTTGATATAAATAATTGCAGCTATAGCTTGTTGCTATGCAGTTAAGAAAAACATTTCTCTTATCCTTGGTGAAGACCCATTTCTTTAAAAGGTTTCACTTTTAAACATGAAGACAATGAAACATTAATATTTTTCCATTTTTCGCTTCAAGTGTACATGTGAGATCAATGCCTTGCTGTCTGGTTTGATAAAAATGAAGGCAAAGGCTCTGGAGAGAGGCAGCAGGGGCTCCCAGAAAGCTAACACTCACCAATGCTTCCCTTGGCCTCAGCCCAAAACCAGGGGCTTTCAACTTGGGCCCAATCCAATAGGGCTTGACCTTCAGGTGGCCTGTGGAAGGATCAAACATGAGAAACTGAGGCTTCTTCTCTTTTAAGGGGGTTTAAGGGTTTATGTGTGTGTGAAGGAGAGCTATAAGGCATCAGGTTAGAGAAAGTGGGACTCACTTTCCAGGTATGGCAAGCAAGTCACTTTGTAATGAGCACATACGAAGAGTCATCACGACTATGCATTTAACCATGACCCTGAGCCATAAGCCTTAGCTCCAAGGCTAAGCAAAGCATAGACTTCCTGGGCATAACACATAAAAATTACAGATTTGACTCGTTTGTAGTAAAACCTGCCTTGTGATGGCCACCCTGAAGGAACAGAAATGTCCTGCTGCTTTTCAAGGGTCACAGGACAAGGACTCACATGCCCTTGCTGGTGCACACAGACCCTGCCTCCTGCCCAGCTGTGCCTAAACAAGCCACATCTTTGTGGCGCCAGGGACACAAGAGTTCTGCAATGGGACCAAACGGGAAATGCTTGAATATTATACTGTGACTCTCTCCCCACGTCGCTTTCATTTTAAAGCCTGAGACTGAAGAATATGAAAATCAGAGCACACCTGTGTAACAAAAAACAAACCCAACAGCTATTAAGCTTCCACCCATTCATTCTGTATGTCTTGTGGGAATTTTCAGCCTTGATTTCTCCATTTCAAGTCCTGAAGTGCCTTTTCTGATCATTGCTTTAGACCTGCTTTGTAACTGCACAGGGTTTCATGCAGTCCTTACCTCTCAGTGAAGCCACAGCTCCATGTGTGCATGCTTGGAGTGTGTACATTCATGTATATGAACAGAGGGAGTAGCAAAACCAACAGCTTTCTTCAGTCCCAGAAAAGCTCAACATTTTTTGCCTCCTGTTTGTCTTGTTTCCCTGAGAAAAAAAAAAAACATTGGACATTCTTGGCTGAAAGCTGTCATCTTCAATGAAAAGCTGATTATACAGTGGAAGTAAATAATAAAAGCATGATTCTGTCTAGTTGCCTGGGCTAAATTCGTGAAAAAAAACCACCTCAGTTGGCACTCAGTAATTTCCTCATGAAAAGCAGTGTTTTTTAAAGGAAATAGTGACAATTTGCCTTGGACCAAATTAGTGAAGATATAAACTGTCTTCACATTGAAGATGTCAAATCTGCAAGCAAATAATTGTAGCATGAGAACTGGTGGTGTCACACAGCTTTAATGATGGTTTGCAGTAAAAATACCAAGAGAACAAACACCTGCTTTATAGCTTCTGTGGGTTGCCAGTGTATTATTATTGGCTCTGACCTTCTAATTGCCTCTTTATTTTCTTCTCCTGGCTGCATGGTGAATAACACGAGTGCTCTTTCAACTCCTACATGTCCCCCACGCTCTCCCCCTTTCCTCCTCTTTCTCGGAAAATAAATAAACTACCAATTTAATGACTAACTAGCTTGTGCTCTCGGAAGAGTTTCCTGAGCTTTTGTACAAACATTGAGCTTTGAACATTTTTCAAACAGAAATCAATGCTTTTTTTCTCCTCTTAACTTTCTGTGCATGCCACTGAGAAGCGTTTTAGTTAGAGCACTGTCTGCACGACACCACAGCCCACCCATCCCTTTTGTGCTGGTAGTGGAGAAAACTGCTGCAGTGGCTGGTCAAATGCAGCTAAAGCAGCAAGCAGCCTGTAACAGAGGAGGAATTTCGAAGACACGGCTGCTGGGTCACGCGTGGTGCTCGGGCGCCGTGGATGCTGCAGATGGGATGCAGGAGAGATGCTGCGCAGTGCTCCCAAGGCGCCAGGAACCGTGGCACCCCTGCGGAAAGGAGCGGGATGAGCTCTTGGCATTGCGGGAACCACTTCCCCCAAAATACCGTAATGTGTGCAACTGCTAGAAATAAAGGGAGTGGCGGGGACGGGGAGCGGCAAGAGAGAGCCCAGGGGTGGCACCGGCCAGGTCCCCGCTGCAATGCTGGCCGACAGCCATGAGATGTCACTGCTGCCGCACACAGAAGTAGGTTCGAGCTAATTTGTCAAGACACCCGAAAGACTGAGCTGTGGCCGCTTTGTGCCACGATTTTTACCCCCAAAACTGTCTTGCTTTAGCTCCGGCCCCTTCCCCGTCCCTCCCATTCAGCAATGTCACCGCTGCCCGAGTCTGGAGGCATCTCCCTTGTCAACACGTCGAGTCCTGCGGTGCAGGTCTGTGCAGCAACAGGCACTGCTGGCCTTTTGGTCTGTGAAGAGATGTTTTTCAGCTCTTCAGTGCTCAAAATAAATGTAAACACATGCTAGCAGTGAGAGGACTTACTTAATTTTCTGGTGAATTAAGTAGCCCTGCTTTCATGCCATGTCCCATGTGCTGCTCTGGATGAAAATTTCCATCTGGGGCAGATGTCCTACATGAGCATGTAGAAATTCCTCTCTCATCAGACTTTCAAGACAATTGCATACTTTTCACCCTAGACGAGAGGGAAACTAAATGAGATTTATCACTGCAGTAAATCCTTCAGAAGGCTGGCACTGTCTGCCATTAGGCAAGGATCGCAGAGATACAGGTAACAGATTCAAGTCTAGGAAGCTGTCTTATTGAGGCATATAAATATGCCTTGTGTTAATAGCCATTTATTAAAACAGATTAAAAAATACACTTTTAAAGTTCAGCTGAGTGACCACCTTAGCCATAAACATCCCAGGAATACACTTAGATCAAAGTTTTATGACCTGTGTCTATTATGGCAGATAGCTCTACCTGAAAATGTCTACTCTTAAAATCTTATTACTGTCAAATTCCATATTTAGGCCAGTGATTTGACATTCTTGCATGAACTAACATCAAAGTTTTTTTCCTTTTTAATCTCTTAATCCTGGTGCATAAATTATTTATAACTGATTCTATTCTATGTGTCTTTTTTGGTGTTATTGGATTCTTATCTTTCATTCCAGTCTAGGTTTCTGATTCAATATATTAAAAGCTTCAGTTCAGCTTTGCTTCCTTATTAAGATACAAAAGAAGTAGGAGCTTATAGAGTGTTGGAAGAAGAGCACAATTTATAATTCTTAAAAAAAAAGTAAAATTAAGAAGTTTTAGTAAAATGAAAGAATGTTGTTTTACAAGAAGAGAATTACTTCTAATTTTGAGCAAGTACATTTGTGTGTCCTCTCTTAGCCACCATCATTAGATAGTGAGGTCAAGCCCTACAGCCCTAGTTCTGCTGGTGGGTCTCAGAAAACTTGCTTTAGAGACTGCTGCTGGAAGATCTCTCCCTGGAGACCTGCTGTCAGGATCAGAGTATGGAAGGATGTGGACATAAAATTCTCTTTTACTCTTCCATGTTGCTTTCTTCTTTTGCACTTACACTACAGCTGGGTGAAAAAGTAAAATTATATTTGGGAAGTCATAGCAGTCCATGGTGGTGAGGCATTGGAATAGGTTGCCAGGAGAAGCTGTGACTGTCCCATTCCCAGCAGTGTTCAAGGCCAGCTTGGACCAACCTGGGGGTTGGAGCAACCTGGTTTAGGGGAAGGTGTCCTTGCCCATGGAAGCGGGGTTGGTACCAAATGATCTTTAAGTTCCCTTGCAATCCAACCCATTCTATGAACCCATTGTATGAGTCTATGAATTGGAACCCCTTCCACCAGCAGAAAAGCAGCAAGAAATAGAAACAAAACCTGAGTATCCCTATAAGTAGCAAAACCAGATAAGCTTGATTCATGTATCAGAAGTGGTCTGTATTAAAGGTTTTCTTATGACAAAGAAGGCCTGACATCTGAAAGGTTCAAAAGTGATGAGAAAACTGAGGCAACCAGCTTGGTTATAGAACATCTGTATTTGGAAAGGCTTGGCTATACTCTCTATTATAGTATGACACACTAACAGCTTATAAGATTAGCTTACAAAAGGCAGCTCTGATCATTCACATGGGTACATCCAAGATACCTAAGGGATGGATAAACCTGCAACAATAGCAGGATCACACTACAGATTAAAAATTCATCCATACAGAATTAGACACTTGAGTCACTGTTGGACATAGAAAGAGGGGTAGTTAAGAGTACCTGTTTTTTGAAGAAAGATGAAAGGTGTAGCATAGTGAGATTTTACCAACATTTAAATGAAATTGACCTGTTTTAAAAAAAACAAAATCTTATTCATGGCTGAAGTATACCTGCAGTTGCATACATTAGAACATCAAGACACGAAGTAGTCTTCCACCCCTATCCAGGAAGGCTGTTAATTTTTATATATATATATATATATATGTATATTTATTTATACAAACACATATATATATACATATATATTCTCCCCCCACTTCCCTTTTGTTCTCTATGCCTTTTATGTGACTTTATGTGAGCATGTGCCATGCTCAAAGACCCTGGCAGCAGATGGAAAGAGCAAGAGTGAGCAAACTTGCATTTCATTTTCCATTTTGATGTATAAACCATGAACTAGACAAAACAGCAGTGAAGTAATACTCAGTATTAGTGGCTTAGACTCAGACTTAACTACTGGTTTAGCTGAAAGTGATTTGTATTCAGGCTAAAGGAAGCAAGTGGGTAAATGTTTTTTGTAGCAATAGCTGAAAACCCTTCCTGATGAGCCTGCTGTGAGGAGACAACAGCTGGCTGTCTCCAAGTGTCAGGAAGAAAATCACTGTAAAGTGTTGCCACCGTGCTGGGACTGAAACACCCCCATGCTGCCTCCTGTATTTTCCAGGATGGCTTGTAAGGAGCTCATGAAATCAATCTGGCAAACCTTCAGCTGAGCTTTCCAGGTTATCCTACTTTTATTCTTATTTGGGATTCACCCAAATGAAAAACAAATTTGGGCCACAGCTGGGTGACTTGAGTCTGGACAGTTTCAGACTGTCCTTTGCAAGGTCCTCTGTAAGAGCTACAAGGGAACACCCATGTCCTGGGGTGTTGATTTCCCAACTGGACATGACCTGAAACCCAACTGTGAGCTGGTCCAAAACCAGGGATTCTACCAGCTTTGTAGCATTTCAGACCCAGGGTGGTAAAATCTGACAGACCTCACCATCACTCAGTGTTATGCTGCTATAATTAATCCCTGGTTATTATTACAAATTCCCTTTTTCCCCCCCATTTATTTTTGTGCTAGTTTCCTGACCTGGAAACCTGACGCTTCTGGTTCACACTTATGCACATCTCAGCTCCCCTCCTTGAGTCTGTTTAGGATCTGTACTGACAGCAAAATGGCACACAGTAGAGTCTGCACCTACCCAGAGGAAATGCAAACAGCACAACCTTGTCAGGATTCTCAGCCTCAGTTATTCTTCCTTTACTACCTGAATTCATCAGCACACATTTCAAGAGCTTGATTTTCTACAACATTTTCTATATTCTACCCAGCTCCACAACTGCTCTCGCAGGACAGCAAACTGAAAGAAACACACACACATACTTTGACATCCCTTAAAACAGACAGAATCCAGCATTAGTTTTCCCTTGCTTCTTGAAAGAAAAGGGCAAAAGATAGGAAGAACATACTCTACAAACTGACAAACCTGCCTCTGCTTAGAGCACTGCAGAAACTGCCAAAGAACACTGGATTTGTGGGAAAATAATACCGACATACAGCTACCAAGGTCAGTCAGTCTTGTGCACTGGGCTGGCAAGCCAAACTTACATAAGTAATGGCCATCGGCAGTCAGCTTTAAATTGGGCACCCACTTCTCCCCCCTGCCCTAATGAAAAAAACGTATTAAACTTGTTCTGCCTTAAGCTGTTTTTCCTCACTTGTTTATTTTCTACATCTCTTCCAGCTTGAGATGCTCACAACTACTGCAACAAGCATAAAATTCAGAGCTCAGAGAGGGCAGGATGGTTTTCTCCATTTCTTTGCAGACAGCTGGGATTTTATCTCATTAATGGTGTAGAGATGCCAATAGGAAAGGCCATGAAAATAAGTGGATATTCACAATCTAATCTTCCAGTTTCATCATGCATGTGCATTTCCTGTGTCCATTTCATGTTCTTACAAACAGAAGCTGTTACCTATGGTGGATATCACCACAGGCTGAAATAGACTACTCCTATAGCATCATTACCTGGTCTAAGTACAAAGGCAAATATAATAAGTACACCTACCACTTGCAAAGGAGCAGCACATGTGAGTGTTGCAGGAAGCTCTGCGCCCTCGAGGCAGTTGGGGAAGGGATGGATGCCCTGGGCTGGGCTTAAAAGGGGCTCCTATCCCAGGGTTGTGTCCGTATAAGTCCCAGCTAGGGCTGCTCAGGGCCTTCAGGGCTTTGCATCAACTGTTTCCAAATGACAAACTCCCTCTCCCTGGAGATGGCAAGTTGCAAATGAAATAGCAGAGCTAGTGAGAAAGTGGTTAACAGGAGCTTTAGCAGAAGAATAGAAGAATGTGGAAATAAGCCCCCGCCATTTCTTACATTATCTGAGTGCTGTTCAGCCATGAATTGTCTGTAATAATTAGCATGAGAATATCTCCTTGATGACATTCATACTGCATAAAAGGGTCTGCATTTCCTCCATCAAAGTGCATATTTATGAACTGAATCTCCGAAAGACAGAGCCTTTGATAGTATTATTTTAATATTTTTGCATATGATTTAGAAGTTTAAACTTCAAAAAGCCCTAATAATAAGAAAAGACTTTCAGATTTCTCATAGTCACCTCCATTTCTAGTAAACACAAACACGTATATGGGAGTCACTGTTTAAATATGAAAGTGATAGACTCTACAAGATAGAAAGACATGAATAAATTTACTTCTGATCCTTAATGATCCTGTGAATAGTGAGTTGAAAAACCCAACCTTGAATGCTGAAGCTATTACATGGCATATGTTTTTCTCATTTCCCATTCATTTCTTGACCACAGTGACAGCCTATTCTGAGTCACACTGGAAAACCTCTACTTTCTGAGTATGTCCATTTGTGTGCACATTTCTCCTCATTCGTCATTCAATTACCTTATTTTATATACCTGATTACTGTAATTCCTCATAAATTAAACCTGATCCATAACTAAATTTATCAAGGGCAGGATTACAGGATTTATCTCTGTCAACTGTAGGACTGTGAGGACATTCTATAGACATGCTGCCACTAGCCTGAGTAGCTTGAGTTTGATGGTCTTAGATGTTGGGAATGGCAGTTCTTAGGTGTAAAGGTAAAAAAAAAAAAAAAATGTCAACAAAGTCTGCCCAAAGCTGCTGGATTTCTACTTACTAATGTCCTGGTGTTATTTCTAGCCCTTTGTTTTAGCACCTACAGCAAGCAAGTATCTGGAAGTTTAAAGCCTTGCACTGTGAAAGGCAGATGGTGGTTACTTTCTGAAGTGTTTATAAAGAAAATAATCCATTTGGTTATTCTAGGCAAAAATGTGCTAGCATCTGCATTATCCCACATTTGGACAACTCAGAAGGAAAGGGAACTAAGGGAGGTGATGGGCCACCAAGTCTGGTGCCATGTGATGCTTGGCTCATTTTGTCCCAAACCCAAGTCTTCCCCACCTTTTCTGCATTGACCATTAGAAAGAATTCCTCCTGTGGGCTGCATCTTCTCCTCATTTGGACTGCAAAGCCCCAGTGCCACTACTGAAGACATTAACCTGTTCATGATGGCTTTGGAGCTGCAGCAACTCACTGCAGATCTGTGAATTACAACTTTTAAAAGTTTTGGTTTCTCACTGGTTTTAGAAGCTGCTAATGTAAATTTTAGGAAGTTGAGGAGAAAATAAAAGGAAATATTAGTGAAGTACGGTCTCTCTGGAAACAGAGGAGGAACTGTTAGAATTGCCTATAAGCTTTCTACATCTAGTTACTTTATTTCAAAGTTGTCAGTATTAGGCAATTACAATTCCTGTAGCTAAAGCCTTCTTTTGTTAGAAAGCCAACAATTTTAACTTGCATAATTTCAACTTTTCTATTATTTAGATAAATCCATTGACATTTGGCATGCATCTCTAAAGCTCCATTTTAAATATAACCTACATCTTCTATTATTTAACAATAAGTAATTTGTATCTAATTCATGAACACAGATAGCAGTACTTTTTATGCACCAAGAAAATAATGAGTTTCTTGTTCACAGGGATAAGAATGATCTGCCTGGATATTGGCTAAATCTCTTTACTAAAGAAAATAACTAATATTTGCTAAACAAATAACTATTCAGGGCATCTCAATTTTTATGAAAACTGAACAGAATATTCTAATAAAAAAAAATCTCCTTACACTTAAAAAAAGTCTGGAAATGTTGCAGCTTTTCCTGGCATGCATATTAACTGCTCAAAGTAGTAATAATAGTGAGTCTTCCTCATCTTTCAGCTGTTGTTCATCTTATCACAGAATCATAGAATGGCTTGGGTTGGAAGGGACCTGAAAGCTCATCCAGTTCCAAGCCCCTGCCATGGGCAGGGACACCTTCCACTAGACCAGGTTGTTCCAAGCCCCGTCCAACTGGCCTTGAACACTGCCAGAGATGGGGAAACACCACTTCTCTGGGCAATCTGTTCTAGTGCCACACAACCATCTTCTTAAGATATAAGTTCTTTGGTGGAGGGATAGACTTGAGTGCTACAGGAGCAAAATTAGTATTCAAAAACACAGTATATTTATACTTGTGCTTATAAAGAGAGTATTATAGAGACCAGATTCTTATCCCAATAAAGATACAAATATTTTGAGACCTTCAGTAGTAAAGAATGATTTATTTGTCCCCATATCTTCCACTAGCTGATAGAAGATTTGGCAAAAACCAATGCAGTCAACATCAACAGTTGTTCACAGCTATTCTAATCTTCTCCTGATAAAATGCACCATGAATCTAAGTATGTCCCTGTTAACTAACAAGAGAAATAAATTTTATGAATTATATTTATGATGGACATTATAAAATTTTGTCCAGAAACAAGCTTAGACCATAATATGCTCTTTATCTACTTTGATGGCCATTGAAAGGATTAAAAAATATAACTGAATTCTGTCATTATACCACCTTTTTATCGTGCCACTGTTATTTAGGAATAACTCTTACCACATCTTTTTCACCATCATTGCTTGGTTGAAACCCCACGGGGGACAACATAAATGAGCCTAGGTGCTCACTCTGCCCCCTGATTTCTGCATGAAGGAAGCCAGACTCCCACTGTGGCCTGGACCCGCAGCCTGCCCAAATGTACCCACTGCAGAGGTCTCAACCTGGCCCCCACCACACCAGTGCTGCTTAGATCAGGCATTACTTGGAACAGTCTGAAAATGCAGAAATTTAACACATCTCCACTTACTTTTTTTTTTATTCTGAAACAAAATAAGAAATGAATGGGTGAAAAAAAACCAGTCAGAAAATGGATAAGAGGAAGAAAATGTTGATCTGTACATCACAAACACTGGAAAATGCTTGTCCTGATCAGAAAACAACCACATAATTCAAAATATGCAGAAGTGGCTGGGTGTTTTCAGAAAATGTTAATTCATCACCACCAGAAATCCTTGTGGGAACACACACATCAATTTTGAAGGATGGTTTTTCTTGGATCTGAGACAAAATTTCTGATCTGAAAAAAAGAGAGAATAGTTGGTGGCCCAGATGTTTGCAAAGCAAGTGGGAATCCTCCCCACTCTATTTAAGTCACCATTTTTCTTCTAAAAGGAAACCTGAATGTGAATTTCCCAGGTGAACGTTTTAGCTATTGTCTAATCTGAGATGGGTGAGATTTCACAAAAAAGCTTCACAGGATTTTAATTGCATCCTGACTTTGTGCAGGACATCTTTTGAATGCCTGAAATAGCTGCTGGGACATGGGCCCCTTCTCCAGCCCACTCTTCTCTTTACCCCTCTTTCCTCTGCAAAGCAAGCAAGAACAAGGAGCAAGCCTATAGCCTCATGTTTATCATGTTATCAGAATAAAAGTTCATCCATATGAAAGGAGGAAAATAAATCCTACTACTGTTAGGACTGATTTAGAAATCACAGTTGTTTTACTCATCATTCCTATTCATAATTCAGCTTATTACTATAAAAGATGAAGGGGAATATGCCCTACTTTTCCCTTTGTGATTTGACAGCACTTATGTTGAGCAGCTTTGCCATGAAAACTAGCAGTTGCTCAGTTTCGCTGCTATGTTTTTGGGCCTTCCATGACACAAAAAGAAAGAAGAAAATCTGGGAAAAGGAGGGGGAACACAAAACATTTCAGGCAATTATAGCCTTCAGACTGACTTGTGCTAGCCCTTTCCTCACTGTTTTCCTGCAAACTGATCAGTTGACAGTGTCTTTTTCAACTAAAAGGAGATGTTTGCTCTTATTAATGACTGGAGGACAAATCTAACCACTAATGGCTGTGATTAATAGCCTGAAGTCTGCAGTCTCCACAGAGCAGGAGCCTTCAGAACACGTCAAAAGGAGAAAATGTGAGTTAGAGCTGTGAAGCCAGAGAATGCGGTTCTTTAACTGCTCATGCTTTAGCTAGAACCCATTTATTCCTGCTAAAGGCATAATCTCTAGAGGTAGCTCTGATTCCTGGGAATGCTAGTGTGATTACACATGTAAACAAGCTGTGCACATCTGTATTGCCTCTGCCACTGCTACAATTAGATGTCATCTCATCTCATCTAACTCTACAATCCCCCTAACTGTCCATTCTCTGCCAGGTGGGGTGTCTGTGCAGGGGCAGAGATCAGGCAGTGGTGCCCAGGCGATGGAGATAACCTGTCAAAAAGAACCAGCTAATTTGACTTACTCCTCTGGCAACATATGAAGCAGGAGCTGGGAAATCCAGTTCTCCCGTCAAAGCCTTCCCAGATTCCCACACCATTGATTAATGGATCCCCCTGAGTTCAACCATGTCTCTAGGGGTTTTGTTTGCATATCCATAGCCGTTTCCAAAGAAACTGCTGCTTCCAGTAAGTGGGTCTGCTGTACCATTTTTCTGATTCACGAAGGTTTGCTGCTGCTGCTCAGATAGATCATTTCTGTGTTGGGAGAGCCTTGCTGCCCCAGAAACCTATGCCTGCTGCCCTGCCTGAATATGGCTGTGTTTGATTTACTAGGACTTCACCTACCTCACCTAATGTTTGCAGAGATATAATGCCAGCTGAAAACCCTTTCCTCAAACCAGTTGATTTTGTCCTGTACGTTGGCAGCTATTGATAAATATCCTCAGCCTAA